GGAAACAAAACAGGGCTGACAACAGTCAGAGAAGTATCTTTGATCTTGGAAAGAGCTCAGGATGGGAATGGGGAGTAGGAAAAGGATGAATAAACACCTTCTCCAAGATTGACAATTTCCCTTTTTGTTTTGGCTGTATCCGTTTCCCTGAGAGAAAAATCCCTATTATAAAAGTCCAAGAAGATAAATGTGAGTAGAGAAATTTCCTGCTTATCCAGAGATCTTATTCCTTCAGAGATCTTGCATTTTTACGACTTCAGGGAGGGCCAGTTGCAGCACAAACTTGGGGAAAAGTCCTCGGAGCAATTAAAGAAGCACCTCCTGTTGCTCTGGGGGGACCCTTAAGGCCCCTCCTCGGAGTCTCTTCCTGATGAGTCAAGTGCAAAATATGGTTTAAAATGGTTTCTTTGTTTCCTTATCCACAAAATAACAACGATTAAGAGCTAACTTTTTTTTAAAGATTTATCCTTTCTTTATATATATATATATATATATGGTGTAGATGGACACAATACCTTTATTAATTTATTTATTTTTATGTGGTGTTGAAGATGGAACCCAGGGAACCCAGCAAAGTGCCACAGCCCCAGTCCCAAGATCTAACTCTTATTAAGTGTCTGCTTTAGTGCCATAATCCCTCCATGACCCTCTGGGATGGCTATTCCTTTTCATTTCACAGTGAGGATCCTGAGGCTCAAAACAAACAAACAAACAAACAAACACTCCCCACCCCCAGCAATAACGTGCCAAGGGTTACAGAGCTAATAAAACTTCCAGAGCTAGAAAGTTTTGTGAACTCAGGACTCTAGGCCAGGTCTGGCTGCCTTCAGCCTATTGTCCTGTACTGAGGGAAGAGATCAGTTTGTAGTGGCTCAAGATCAAGGAGGGAATCAATGTGGATGGAGGAACTTGACAACTGTTAAATGGTTTTCTACCAACTTCAAGGGAAGGTTTATCAGTCAGGAAAGTAGCATTTTAATAGGGTGTCTACAAACTTACCTGTCAAGAAAGAGATTCTATATGTAAACATATTTGGAGAGAGAGAGAGAGAGAGAGAGAGAGAGAGAGAGAGAGAGAGAGAGAGCGCACACTTGTAAGAGAGATTGACTTGTTATAAGGAATTGGCTCATGTGTTTATGGAAGCGAGTCCCCAGATCAGCAGGGTGAGTTGGCGAGGTGGAGACCTGGGAGTGCCTATGGCTTAGTTCCATTCTGAATCCCAAGGTCTGAAAACAAGGAGAGCTGATGGTATCATTCCCAGGAGCGTCGAAGGCTGGCAGGCTCGAGACCCAGGAAGAGTGGATGTTCAATTTGAGTCCAAAATCAGGAATTGAAAAGACAGTGTGTCCGTTGGAAGGCCATCAGGTGGGAGAAATTCTGTCTTGGAGCAGGGCCAGCCTTTGGAGGGCAATCCACTTTATTCTGCCAACTGACTTGAATGCTAATCTCATACAAATACACCCTCACAGAAATAGCCAGAATAATGCACCATCAAATATCCTGTGGCCCAGTCAAGTGGATACATAAAATTAACCATCTCACAGGGGGAGGAAGGATGATAAAGGAGACATGACACTAAAAGCATATGGTGGTGTGAGACTCCTTAATGTAAGCGTTTCAGAAAAACATGGTCCCTGTGTTTGAGAACAGGCAGCCAAAGTCAGAAGGTGCTTTGAGACCAAGGAAGGAGGCTGACAGGTCCAGGATTACACAAAGGCGTAATTAGGCACTCACAGATGGACATGCATCTTGGGCGGCAGAAACGCAGGGTGACCCCTGCACCCCACGGCAGGAGAAGGGATTTGTATACTAAGTGAAGACAACAATGGGCTGCAGCTGATCAGAATGTACCTGGCCTTTCTCAAAAACTATGAACATGTCCAATGTCAGTTAAGAAATGAGCAGGCACGACTAGATGAATGACTTTGTCCATAGCGTTTTCAATGCAGGCCAGGGTTATCTGGTGGGCAAAATGGCAATTTTAGTTATGTCAAGGTGGATCCCTACAGTAGAGGACCTTAGTCCTTCTGCAAATAGTGTCACGTAATTGCAGCCACACACTGTGACCACTGATGGGAAGAAGAGGGAACAGTTCATGGAGAAGAGGTCCGTGGAGAAGAGATGTGGAGCAGGGCAGCTGAGGGCTGTTTTCCTGAAGCTCTAGGCTCTCCTCACCTGCAGCCAGAGGAGGATGCTCTCCTCCATTGCCCACAGTCTAAGGGCTCACCTGAGATCCCTGAGCTAAGTTCCTTCTGGTTAACTGACTTGGTGATTTTCACTTGTTCCTTTTTTCCTGGCTCAGCATTTTTTGACTTTGGTTCTTGACGCAGGGAAGACAGCCATGAGACCCACCAGATGCCTGCCAGTCTGATGGGAATGATGCAGAAAGAAAGAAGCTACTGATAAAGAGTGATAGATTCTGAGATCCTAAATTACCACTGAGCACTAGGTAAGAAAATGGGGGGGCCCCTAGGTCAGCCCAAAGAGTCCAGGGGAGGAAGTCAAACTTCAGAGATGCTTAAAAGAACACCAGAAGCTAGCCAGGAGATTGGGTCAGAAAAATGGGTATGACATATATAATACCACACAGGATGTAAAATACAGTCACACATTTTGGAAACTCTAAGAAGTTCGGTTGGAATAGGGTTCTCAGCCTGGGAGGTACTTTGGAATGACCTGGGAGTAGCAACAGAAATACTGATAACCAGCCCACGCTTGCTGAGATTTGGATGTCATTGGCCTGCTTGGGGCCCAGGAATCAGGAATACTTATAAATTGCCACAGGAGCAACAAAAACTTAAGAGAAGTTGCTAGAGAACGTGAAATTGGAGGGAGCCCGTGGGGGAGCGTCGCTAGGATGTGGTCAAGAATCTGAGCTCACTTTGGGGAAATAGGAAAGACTTGTGCAGAGCTCAGCAGAGAAATAAAGACCCGCTGAGCCCTCACTGGGCCACATCTGATAACTGTTTTTTTTTTTGAGCTATTGTTTCTTTTCCTCATTTAAACACGAAAGCCAACCGGGAATAACAAAACATACAATAAAATAAAATCAGCTGAAAGATTACTCAGTAAAAAGAAGTGATAAAATAGTAAAAACAGGCCGATGCAGTAAACCCAAAAAGACTCAACCAGACAGAATCACCCACCAAGGGCCAAGCAATAAAAATAATAGGGAAAATGTCCTGGTGCAGGTGGTTAGCTTCTTCATGCATTGAGAAACTCGAGCTTCCCCACCATCCTGGGAGGGAGGGAGGGAGGGTGTTTTGTTTCCAGTTTACAGAGAAGGAAATGAGATCTAGGGAGATGAAGCACAGGGGCTCAGGTTTAGAGTGGGTGGAGCAGGGTAATGACTACATTTTAATTATGAGGAAGTGGAGGTCAACTTGTCAAGACTAAATGGCCAGTAGGGGGCAGTACTGAGCTCCTTACCATGGTTCAAGGTTCAAGCCCAGATGCACATTGGAATCTTCTGGGGGGGCTCCTCAGAAATACTAATGCCATTTAGACATTTCTTCAAGGAAGACATACAGACAAGCAACAGGCATTTGAAGAAATGCTCAACGTCACTCGTCATCAGGGACATGCAAGGTAACAACAGCATGATAAGACGGCACTGCACATACATCAGGATGGATATTATTAAAAAAAAAATAAAGACAAGTGGGATGTGGTGGTGCATTTTACTGTAATCCCAGCAATTCAGGAGGCTGAGACAGTAGGAATGCTTGGGATGTGGCTCAGTGATTAAGCACTCCTGGGTTCAATCCCTGGTTACCCCCCCCCCGCCCCCCCAAAAAGACAATAAGTGTTGATGAAGATGTGGAAAAATTAGAACTCTTGCATGCTGTTGGTACAGATGAAAAAATGGTGCGGCTGCTTTGGAAGGCAGTATAGCTATCCTTCAAGAAACTAGAGTGACCATTTGATCCAACAATCCTACTTGTGGGTATTTCTCCAAAAGAACTGAGATCACAGTTCCGAAGATACATTCGCACTTTCGTGGTCATTCATTGCGGTGTTACTCACAATGGCCAAGAGATGGAAACAACCCACACACGTTCATCCACTGGAGAGTGCAGCGAGAAAATGTGGTAACACGCACAGTGGATCACTCAGGATGTTGTGCTAAGTCAAAAAAACAGTCACAGAAGAACAAACAATTCCACTTCCCTGAGGCACTAGAGTAGTCAAATTCATAGCATCCAAGAGGGGGATGGTGATTACCAGGGGACGAGGGAGGGGGACATGGGGAGTCACCAATGAACAGGTATGAAGATTCAGTCAAGCACCACGAATAAGTTCTAGAGATCCGCTGCACAAGAGTGCACCTAGAGTCAACGATAATGTATTGTACGCTTTAAATTTGTTCACAGGGTGGATTTGCTGTTAAGTGTTCTCATTCCATTTGAAAATCACTTTTCATTGAAACTTAAGCACTGTATTTGTTGTGAGTTATAGTTTCATGTGTATGTATGTATATATATGCATATCTATATCTATATATATACACATATACATATATATATATATATAACACAATTTCTTAGAAAGGAAAATGAAATGCTGAAGCCCGTGCTAGATTGAGCTTGATCCTAACTTGGTTGGTTGATCTGGGCTGGATCAAGCAGTCAGGGTGCAAATAAGCATAATTGTGGCTTTGCTCTAGTAGTGGTTTTACTCTGGTAGAAATATTTGTGATTTTACTCTACTAGTAATTGCCGCTATTTACTGAGCCCTGAGTACTAAGCACTTCCGTAGATGCTTTTTTTATTCCTCCTTGGGGATTGAGAAAACAGAGAGCTTAAGCTGCTTTCTCTGAGTCACCCAGCTGATGGTCAAGAGTGCAGGGGTTCCTGCCCAGGCCAGCCTAACTCCACAGCCGACTGTTTAGCTGCTGTGTTGCCTGGTCTCTAAGTAGGGTAGACTAGCCAAAGCTGAGTGGGTGGGACAGGTTCTAGAAGGTGAGCTCACAGGGTTGGGGAGTTCTAGAAGGCCCACGATCGGTCCGTGGCCTCATTACTCTCTTAACTCTGGGTGCTGGGGCCCTGGCCATACCGCGGGGGGCATCTCTAGCTGAAGCAGGGTTCGTAGCCACGGTGGCTGCTGCCATTGTCACTGCCATCTCCACTCTGGTGGGGAGGCCTCCTGACTGGTGAGTCTCCTTTCCCCTCTTCCTGGAGCTGTGAACCGGGGGCCCTGGGCTGGCCTGGCCAGTGAGGGACGAGGAAACAGCAAGGTCATGGTGAGAGGTAGGGGGAAATCCTGGCCTGTGAGATTGCCAAGCTGAGAGGGCCCGAGGTGGGGACACGGGAGACCCTGGCTCTGGGAGTCGCCAGATGTGGCTCCTTACACCTCTGGACCTGCTGTGAAATGCTGAGAGTGGACTTGCCTTTAAAGTCACTTTACTGTAAAGATATCAAAAATCACTCACTGTGTAGCGGTGAAGTTAGTTTCCTCATCTTTAAATTGAGGATATTAATCCTATCCACTTAGAATTGTTAAGAGGATTAGACAGATAAGATTCAGTTAGAAAATACCTTGGCCCAGTGTCTGACGGATTTGAAGAACTCAGCAAGAGGAACCTTCTCCACGTTGAAGACACGGGCTTGTGCTCTGCGGCCAGGACTTGGGCTTACTTCAGTCTCAGAAGCAACCACTCCGCACCGGCTGCTCTGCTTGGCTCCCAGGATAAGGAGAAAAATACAACTGTTCTTTGGAAGTTCGCCTTGTGGCGGGGAAAGACTGACCCATGTTGCTATCCAGTGTGACAGAGGGAGGGTAGAAGATCAAGATGCTGTGGGAGTGTTGGGTGCAGTGGCCTGCCAGGAGGGTCTCTCTGCGGAAACTCATCCCCTCTTGAGACCCTTGAAGTCAGAGTAAGAGTTAACTGTGGAGAGGCAAAGAGAGGGCTGATGTTCTAGACAGCAGGTCAGCCTGTGTGATGGGTGTGGAACTCTAGGGAGGGGGGTCTGTCCGTGGGGAGAGGCCAGCAGGGCTGGTCATGAAGGAGTGACAGGGGGAGCTGATAAGTGTCTCATGGCTGGACGTGGTGTTTAAAAACATCATTCTGGTGCATGTGTAGAGAACAGGGGCCAAGGCTGGGCACAAGAAGATCGTAAAGGACCGGTGATGGTGGTTTGAACCTAAGGAAAGATGGTTCTTTTGGAGAGATGGTAGAGTCAACAGGACCTAAGACTTGATTGGCTGGGGATGATGAAGGATGAGGATATATTCATATATTTATGAATGACATTAATATTTCTAGTATGGATAAATGGGCGGCCTGTTTTAGACTAGTGAAAGGAAGACAAAAGCAAGGGCCGATTACGGTGGGAACATTCGTTCTGTTTCAGACAGGCTTAGCGTTCAAGGGCAGTAATGAGGATTTTTGAACTTCCTTTGAGGAACAGGGGAGGGAGAAAGCTGACCCAGCACAAGCACTAGTACTGGTACTAGGGATGGCTCATTATAGAAATCCCAGCTAGTCTATTTTTGGTGTGAGGAGCTCGTTCTTTTCTTGATCTCGTTCTTGATCTTTCTCATTTATTCTCTTGACACGCTTATGGGGTGTGACTGATTTCCTCACTGTATGGGGGATGAAGATGAGTCTCAGAGACTGTCCATGGTCCTCAATACAGTAAGGAGCAGGGTGGGCTTCAAAGCCAAGTCTTGCCGCGAAGCTACGCCCTGAGCCATCTCGTCATCCCCAATGACATCCAAGTGGGGGGACCGGAGAGCGCGGCCACCCATTTTTGAGGTTGTGCAGCTGTTTCAGGTTTTGACTCCGCGTGGCTGGAGAGTGGGTGTGATGGGCTGAGGTCATGAGAGATGTGGGCAGACGTGTCCGAGCGTGAGGTCTGAGAGAGAGAAAGGTTGGAATAGAAAGATGGAGAGGTACGAGGTGTCGGGTGATGGCCATTGGCGGGGACAACACTGCCAAGGTCGGCAGGAGCTGATATTCTCCATGATTGTGGGGACCTGTCCACAAAGCCAAGGACGAGACGGACGGAGGGCAATGCAAAACAGGGTGGGTGAGCTCCCAGGAAGGAGGAGTTTTTGCAAGGTCATGGTTTAGAAGGGATGAAGGGGGACGAAGGAGACCCTCAGCACAACCTGGGGCCTGTGAGAGGAGGACTGAGAGGAGGAGCATCTTCCATGTGAGAGGGCTTCAGGTAGCAGTCCTGGGAGACCCTTTTTCAGGTCACTATATGGAGGCTAGAAGAGGGGGTGTCTCTTGGTAGTGGGGCTTACGGACTGAGAGTGATGACACAGCTCAGCCCATTTCTCTGGAAAATCTGCTCCAGGCCATAACCCCATGGGGCTTTGGATTCCTACCAACTTTGGTCTCAGGCCAAACTTTGTCCCTTCCCAGTTGTCAAATCATAAGCCTCAGGATCAAATCATGCCTCGTGCGTGGCGTAGAGCTCAGAGGGTTCATTTTCTTCCCAGTTTCCCCTCCTCTCTCCCCAGCTGCTGGGCCTGGGTGGAGTAGAGTAGGATTGGAAAGGACTGATGTAGGTCACAGGAATCCTCCAGGATCTTGGGAGGATGGGGAGGTGCTTCCTAGGGGATGCCGAGGAGCCGATTCCTCCACTGGGGCCTTGCCTTCTGCCCACGCCTTCTTCTCTTTCCAGGGCTACACTCAGGCTCTGCCCCTTCTTCTTCCAAGGAGTCGGTGTCTGAAGGGGACCACCAGGGCTGATGAACCGCCTGTCATCCCAAAGCTCAGCGCTGACCCCGTGTGGCGGGGGCTACATCTCTGCAACTGGCATGAAAGCCAGGAGCTGGGTACCCAGAAGGCGACTGAGTCCACCTAGGGTCACCTGGCTGGCTCTCGTCTCTCTACTCAGCGGCCTGCTCACCTCCAGCCAGGCCAAGGTTTTCAGTCGCTGCGAACTGGCCAAGGAGCTCCACAGAATGGGCCTGGACGGCTTCCGGGGATACGAACTGGCTGACTGTGAGAACCTTTTTCCCTGGCTGGCCCAGCCTGGCTCCTTCTTACCTCCACTTCCTCCTCTCCCCCCTCCTTCTCATTAAAGGGGGATGGCCTTGGGGGGCTTTTTAAGCCTCAGCTCCTAATCTCTAAAACCAGGAGTAAAGGAGACGACAGGTTGAGAACTCTCAGCCTGGAGTTCAACGCCTAGTCGGCAGGAAACACCCAGCCAGATTGGAACCACCTCTTCATTTCTCCCGCTCTGGCAAAGGCAGGAGCCAAAAGGTCCGAATAATTTAGTAGGCTAAACTTATAAATCCTGGCCACGGGGATCCGACATTCCTCCTGGCCAAATGAAAAGGCAAATTGAACACATGAGTAATACCAAACTTCTCAAGCTGGTGGCCGATTTGGGAAGCTTTGTCGGTGAGGTCCAGACACATCTGGATTTATTTTTCCCTCTCTTTAGTTCTAGAACCGTTTGTAGATCCTACTCATGTCTTTCCTAATTTTGCCTCTGAAGATCTAGTTCCCGCAAATCCCTTATCAAACGCGTGGATTGGATTTCACGAGGCTCTGGGCAATAAGCTTGAGCCTGGGAGTCGGAGGCCAGAGGCCCAGTTTTGACCCCCCTGCTAGGTGGCAGCTGTATGTGATTTTGGGGAAATCACTTTGCCCTCTGAGCCTCAGGTGATCCAACGGCAGAGTAGGCGAGAAGGTGTCTGCCCTGGTCCTCACTTGGCGGGGTGGGGGTGGTGAGGCTGGGGGAGCCAGTGCGTGGGACCCATACTGTGAGGGTCTCTGTCACCTACAGGGGTCTGCCTCGCCTACTTCACAAGTGGCTTCAACACAGCTGCTGTGGACCACGAGGCAGACGGTAGCACCAACAATGGCCTTTTCCAGATCAACAGCCGGAAGTGGTGCAGAAACCTCTCACTGGATTCCCTCAACTTGTGCAAGATGTACTGCTCTGGTAGGTTGAGTCTCGGCCTTGGGCTGGCTGGGGTCAGGCCTCTACGAGAGCATTTGCTTCTGCCCGGTTCAGGTCTGCCTAGGGATGCCCCAGGAGACAGACAATGGGCAAGCGAGGAGAGTGGACCCTCCTTCCATCTGACTTGGGGTCCCAGGTGGGACACGGGTCCCAGAGCTATAGGAGCGGAGGGGGAAGATTGTTTCTGATGGAGGGGGGAGAGGAAGAGAGTGATACCTGTGCCCCGCCCCCAGACTCCAGATGTCTAGCTCCGCCCCCCTGCTTCCCAATTTTGTGTTTCTCTGCCTCCCACTCCAGACCTGTTGACCCCTGATCTCAAGAACGCTGTTGTCTGTGTCATGAAGATAGTTTCAGGGCCCAAGGGTCTGGGCTACTGGTAAGTAGCTTGAGGTGGACCCTGCTCCCCAAGGGTGGTGTGTGGCCAAGACTGGTATACATCAGCCTTTTTGGGGTACCCACTTTGTCATAGGCACATTTCTAAGCTTCACGATCTAATCCTCACTATAACTTTTGGGGTGGGGAGTCCAAGCAAGAGGAAGCATTTGTAGATGACGCCTTGAGTTTTAGGGAGGTCAAGCGATGTATGGTGGCCACATGGGCACGCAATTGAGCTGGGTTCCTCCAAGATCTGGGATGCCTGCTTAGAGGTCCTCAAAGGCCGAGGCTTGAGAAGATTGTTAATTTTTTTTTTAAACGGTGGCATCTTTTATATAAAACCTAAATGTTCTATGAAAGGTCAGGAGGTACATCAGATTGAGGTAGAGGTTCTCTGCTTGAAGTGGGCGGGGGGCTCTGGAGCTCCACCTTCTCCACCTTTTTTTCCTCCTGCTTTCAGGAAGATGGCCTTTGAAGCCCTCTTTAGAATAGATGAGAGTCAGACGGGCCACTGAACTCGATGGATGGATCACGGGGTGCCTCTGAGTCAGGAGCTCCCCAGCTGCCTCTGTTGAGGGGAGTCTCCTACTTAGTCTGTGATCTCTCCTCCACTCATATTTCTGGAGGAGAAGTCAGCATGGGTGGGGGAGAGCAGCATCTGGGAAAACACCCAGTGGCTGGGACACCGTGAACAGATATGGCAGGTGCTGAGGCCGGGAGGGAAGCTTGGAAGGCACTGAACGTTAGTCCAGGAGCAGAGGGGAGAGGGAGAGAGGGCGGGAGCTCCTATTTGGGTGACTCTATAGGAATCTAGGTGAGAGATGTAGGGTCTGTGCACCCCTGTTGGCCAACAGAGGAGTTGGGCATGAAGGATTAGAAGAGATAGAGGGACAGGTGAGATATGTGGCCTGAGAGGGAGAGGGGGAGTGCAAGTGACTATGAATCTAGAGAAGGTCTGTAAATGGCTTGGAATGACCACAGCTTTGGCAATGTGATGGTTTGAGGACAGATGAAGGCTTAGGAACCGAGTCTGGGGCGAGGCAGGCTCCTTGGGATATCATGTACCTCTATAGAGTCAGGAAGTGGGAATGTAGGCTCAGGCACAAATCCACTGGCCACCACCCTGAGATGGATAGTCCTTATGGGTTAAATCAAAGAACAACTCTCTCTCTCTCTTACACATTGGGAGTAAATTCTTGGCATGAATATACCCCTAAGAGCAGGTGGCTGAGGCTAGTCATAGGAATTGGTCCCACAAGGTGGACATAATGCTGTTCATTCACACTGCACACATGGACTGAAGACTCAGGCATGCCAAGCTTGGTGCTGGGTCCTGGGTTTCAGAAATATCCAAGCAAAGAGCTCATGGAAGAGACAAACAGGCCAATCGATCTTTTTTGGGAAGATAGAGGTATAGAGGTCCTTTGGGGCACTCCTGCTCACTGCGCTCTTTGACATTGACATCAT